GTGCTGCAGAACTCCCATCCCAATGAGGACAGAGGTGCCTATCATACAACACATGGAAGGGAATGGTACCCACGTTGCCATGGGTACCAGGTTGGAGAGGCCATGGCCTGACTGTCTGCAAGATGATGGCTGAACTATGAGTATCATCATTTCCAAGTGTGCTGGCTGCCAGTCTGAGCCGGCGCTTTACTACCTGCGGCTTGAGCATGGCAGTGTCCCAACAACCCTCACCTGCTCAAGCTTCCTCTCCTATGCTGTTCTGCAAGTGATTAGTAGGAGCTTGCAAGGTCTTTTACTATCAAAGTGGGACCAGAATCACAACCCCCCACCAGCCCTCTTTAACCCTTTCGATCCCTTCCATGTCTGCCACTGTCCCTCCTACCACCACAGTTGGGGGTGGGGTGGGGGTGGAAAATTTCAACCGTAGAGGGGTTTTTGGTTTTTGTGTTTTAATAAAACACAGGAACAGAGTTCTCCCAGAGGCCAGAGCTCAACCCTCACAGTTTGGTCTTGCCTCAAACTGTGACCACAGCTTCTTGCTCTCATCACCTGTGCCTGGACACACTCCCTTTCCGGGACTCCTACCATCAGTCTCATGGTGAGCTTCATCTCTTTCCCACAGCCTGCCTCTTATCTACTCACCCCCATCCTGCAGGTTCCTTGCAAGGGCTCCCCATGTGCTGCTTTTCCTTCCTATAAACTCAGAGAAGGTGCAGTGTCTTTATGTGAATACAGGGTAACAGTACTAACAGTCAAGAGGCATTTAAAATAAAGTTCCTTGGTTCACGGTTATACCATTCTGAATGTGCCTGTACCAACTGCTGTAGGCTAAGGAAACAGAAAATAATAATAATAATAATAATAATAATAATAATAATAATAATAATAATAAATAAGCCCTCTCCCAGACCTCTGAGGAGACAATCACTCTTGTTAGCTGTTGCAAACCTTTTACATTATAGCATTTCCGGGCCCTTCTGGAACAAAGGTGAGAGAAGAGTGAACAAGAAGGTTAGGGTGAAGGTGTCAAGAGTCTAAAGCTCTCTGTCTGTCTCAGCTTCATAGCCTTTTGCTATGGAATCCATGGTGACACCTCGATTCCCCCGATTGGCAAGCCATGGCCTCACAGACAAGGTCTTGCACACTACCCCCTTTCAGTACTCAAGGGTAGTGCTACTGCTAAGGGTGGCCTTGTACTTTAGAGGGCTATGGGAAGAGGAGACCAGAACTAAGACCTTATCAGTCCTGCCAAGTCTATGGTATTTCCTGACATGGGTGGGGAACAACTGCTCTCCTGCCTTAACAGACACTAAGTGTGTAAACCCCACATCCTTGCAGAGTAACCTCGGAAACACTGAGCACACCTTCAGAACCTTGGCTTGTTTGTGTGCAAACCAGACTCTGCTGAGGGTATCAGGGTGTGCTTTTAGCTTTGGGGCCAGAGAGAGGCCAGCAGGACACAAGCTATTCGTGTTCATGGTGTTTATAGTGACTCTCCATCAGATACAGCAGGGCAGGCTCCTGCTATCTTTAAGGGTTGAGGTTGAATATAATCTGCTCCCATCCATGGGCATCTGTACCAGGTATGAGGGAGCAACTCCATCTAGATGAGATGCCAGGGTAACAAGTGACAGGTAAATAGAAACCATAGTCATATATGTCAAACTGATTTAAAAATTCAGCCAGAGGAAAAGAAGAACCAGAGTGCATAGTGTCAAAATCAGAATCCGGAAAGCCATCCTGATTCAGTGACTCCAAGCACAGGCAAGTTTGAGTCACACAGATGCTCTGGCAGCAATCCTTAGAGCAGGGGAAAACAACAGACGCCCCACTCCCTCCCCCAAACTGACTCTGAGGTAACCCTTGCATCGCTACCTGATGAAGTACCCAGGAGGCACCAGCTATGACCATGCCTGGGCCTGCCTGTCATTGTCTTCCAGCCCCTTCAATGGGCAGTGATCCAGCTGCCAGGGAGGCAGAGACAGCCCAGAGGGACCAGTTCCAAGGTGAGTTGGTTCAAGCCTTGTACTTCCTGTTCAGATCAAAATGTACTCATTCTTGGGGCCAGAGAGATGGCTCAGAGGGTAGGAGCTGCTAAGCCTGGTGACTTGAGTTCTGTCCCCTGGACCCATATAGTGGAAAGAGAAAATCAACTCCTGCAGGTTTTCTTCTGACCTCCACATGTATGCTGAGCATGCATGCACGCACTCACGCGCGCGCACACACACACACACACACACACACACACACACACACACACACACACACGATATATTCCTTTCCATTCAAGACTTCACATCCCTCAATACATTGCCACACACATGCGCCTGGTTTTGAGAAGCAGTTAAACTAAAGCTAAAAAGCTAAAGGTCTGAACATTAAAAATGGGTACATTTGCCTCACACCATCTCCATCCAGGGAGACATAGCTAGTATGGTGGATTCTAGAAATTCTTACTGTTTTACATTTTTGTTTCTTTTGGTACAATGTTTAAGCAGTTTAATAAGAAATGTGATTAGGAGACCCAAGATGACAGGTGAGATGCAGTCACAATCATTCTACTCTGTCTTGATTCTCTTTACAGTGGAATGCAGGGGCTCATAACTGGTTAAAGTTCTGAGAAAAAGTGACTGTTCTCAGTTCTAAATGGGACATCCATAACCATCCCATCCCAGCCAAAGCTCAGAGCATATCTTGGAACAAGGGGGTGCAAAATATATGAGAGCCAGAGGATGAGGAGAGCTGTGAAGCATCACCTAGAGCAGAAGAGATTACTCACACCAGACTGAGCCAACCCACAAGGATCACGGATAGAGGAGGGGCTCATGTGGCCCGGTTCCTCCCTGTGAAGCTGCCAGCAGTCAATGGGTGAAGGGTGGTCATATTCCTCAGTGGTACAGTCACTCTTAAGTTGACCCTGTGCTTGTTGGTTTTTGTCAACTTGACACAAACCTAGATAAAGTCAAATCTGGGAAGAGGGAACCTCAACTGAAAAAAAGAAAAAAAGCCTCATCAGATTGCCTGTAGGCAAGACTGTAGGGCATTGTCCAGACTTTACTGCTGATGGAGAATCAAGCTCACTGTGGGCCATGCAACCCCTAGGCAGGGGGTCCTGGGCTGTATAAAAAACGCAAGCTGAGGAAGCCACGGCAAGCAAACAAGATTAGGTTCTTCCATGGTCTCTGCTTCATTTTAGTTTGTCTCTGGGTCCTGCCCAGACTTCCCTCAGTGATGGACTGCTAAGCTGTAAGATGAAATAGATCCTTTCCTCCCTAAATTGCTTTGGTCATGGAGTCTTATCATAGCAATAGAAACGTTGAGACACTTCTACTCCAGGGAGGAATCCCAACCCACACTCACATAATCAACCCTAGTTAAATGGGCCACACACAAAAACACACCTAAGTAGGAGGGGGATTTGATGAGAAGTGGTTCAGTGGGAGAGGGGGACTAGAGTGGGTAATGGGGGTATGTGCTCAAAGTACATTATATAAACAAATAAGACCATCGTGGACTAATAAGGATTGGGAAAAACAGATAGGCTGAATAGATGTTTATTCAAGGAGAAATAACTTACAACATAAACAGATGAACTCCAGCAGGTTCCTGGTCCCAGGGATGCCTCCAAATGCTCTCTGTCCCTGTCCAGCAAGCAAGGGAGCACTCCACTGGGGATGGGGGGAGGCCCTTCCTGGGGGGGTGTCCTTCCCCAGACCTAGTTCCTCCAGGTCATGTCCACCCCTGTCCCCACCGCCAGTGGGCGTGGTCAGTGCCACAGGTGCAGATAGAGTGAATATCTCACTTCGTAAGACTGAAAAAATAAGTTCCACAAAGTGATCAGAAAACCGTTGCTGAATCACAAAGCCTCATGCTGGTCACAAAGCCAACAGAGGATCACAGTATCATTTGGTGAGTTTTCTATTTGAACTAATTCTGAAAGGCGTGGGCGTAGGAACATGATGATCAGTGACAGATGCTCTGAGCCTGATGTGCTATAGGTTAAATGGGGACAAGACTCAAATAAAACCCCAGCATGGGCCCTAAGCAAACTTGTGAAAGGCAGGCAAAGAAAACCCAAGATAACACCTCGGCAGACTTGTCACCTAAGGTCCCTCCCGTGGCCTCTAATGAGGGACAAGAGTTGATCTTGGCTATCATTGTAGTCAATCTCCTGTCCCACATACTGTGCCTAGTACTGAGAACCATGGCATTCATAGCAGCCTCTGAATTTCCATGAAGGACAGGGGTTACTCAGCTAACATGAGCCTCTCAGCAGCTACATTGCTCAGTCTGCTGTGGCTACCAAAGGCTCTGCTGCCCCCTTGAATGAGGTAGCACGTCTATATCCCATTTGCAGGGAAGCTGAGGCAGGAGGGTTGAGCTGGAGGCCAGTCTGGACATTCTCTCTATGTACACACACTATAATACAGCAGTTATGAATCAGTGTAACTCCTATCTCTTTTATACTCATGTGTATGCTTAATTTTTTGCAACATAGTAGTTACAGTTGGTGTAATTCCTATCCCATCTCCTGTTTCTATCTCCCCCCCCCCTCACACACACACACATGAATTTTTCTTTTGTGATGTAATAATCACAACTAGTATAACTCCGACCCCCAGTTTATCCAGGCTGTGGCTCAGATCTAGAAGTCACCACTACATTTTACCAACATCCCACTGCCCACCAGTGCAAGGCTGAGTGGGCCTGCAGGCACTTTGCTTCTCTCATATTATGCATCTCTTTGGCTGGTTGTAGACTTGCAATTAAAGAGGGATGTCATACACAGCCAGCCCTTCCTAGTAGACAACATCCCTCGGGCCTTGTTAGGGATGATGCAGTTTATTGTCTTAAGGAGCCGCAGATTCTAATCTGGAAGAACTGTGAACATTTCACTGTGGCCCCTGGATCAGGATGCCACTGAATGATAGGCTCTACAGAAATAATCAGTGTTCCTGATTCATTCTCTGGAAGCTGTGAGGGATAATAACACACTTCACTTCACTTTGGAACTCTTTATTCTCATGGGCAATGAATTCATGGGACCACAATGAGCTGAGCTCAGTGCCGAGGTGACTCTCGTCCTGAAGAGGGCTGCGGCATCCTGAACTTGGAGAGGTCCAGGTTCAGGTCTAAGAAGGTATATATGTTGTAGTCATGATGCTGCAGGTTCTTGTAGGTGGTGGTGTCCGTCGGCTCTGGGGCCAGCATGTGCTCTGTAGGGGAAAGTGAAATGATAGCTGTCAGACATCCATCCATCTGAGCACTCAGGAAGCGGAAGTCTCCACAACTCCAATCTGATGTGTGAGTAGTCTACCTAGCAGAGATTTCCATGTCTTCAAAAACCAATTAAGAAATCACCTGAAAATGTATGCTGTAATTTGTTGTCTTGCCCATTAAGTGTGATCACAAAGCACAGGGAGGCAATGCTGTCACCCTAAGACACCCACCTCTACCCCTGCCACAGAAACTTTCCCTGAGATTGTATCACAGGCCTGCCAGGAGACAGGACGACTCTCTGCTTTGTCTTGATGGCAATGTTGAGATGGCAATGTCCTAACATCTACAAGAGGAGACAGGGCTGCTTCATTTCTGATACTAGATACTAGTATCTCACCTTACTTTTCTGCATTTCTGGGTCCTGAACTCTACAAATTTGGCAGGACCTGGAATTATGGACAGACTTCCAAATCATGTAAAAATACACAGGAGAAAAATCATGTGATTTCTTCACATCACAACTATTTGTTATGGAAATAGCCATCACAGATCTGAGAAAAATCTGAGTGTTACAGTAATGATAAAATGAACACGGGAATCAGGGAGGAGGGTACAGTTTTGCTGTTTTAACTTTTGGGGGAAAATCGTTGCTGTCTTCATAGATTCATAGACAGAAACAAATACATGTAGCCTTTTTTCTTAAATGGGAAAATTAAATCTATATACCTAAACACTTGATAAACTTAAAATTCAAAGTGTGGGACTGAAGCAAAAGGACATGGCTCTTCTGCAGCATGAATGCAACAAAACAGGAGACAAGACAAAGCTAGCGAGGGCCATAGGGCAAGGCCTGGCTAAGACTTCCCAATGCTCTACAATCAAGTCAGTAGAGCTGTCTCAGTTTCTAGTGACACTGCACAAAAAACAAACACCCGACAACTTAAATACTTATGTCTCTGTTCCAAATCCAAAAGCTGATTCTCATTATTTAATTCAGGGGGAGGGGGACAAGAGGGAAGGAAGGAAGGAAGGGATGTCTTATAGAGCTGGCCTCTTCTCTACCTCGTCGAGCTGAAGGTCTTCAGTGTGGTGAAGGCATACCTTCAAATCCGTGGATTACGTAGTTATTATAGGGGAGGCAACAACAGACTGAGCTTGGGGGGGATTATAAACTATCAAAGCAGCCCACTCAAAGCAAGGAGCTTTGGGAAAGGCCCACTTTGTGAGCTTTAGCTACCAGCAAAAAAGGTTTGGCTGGGTGTTGCGGGTAGCAAGTTTCTTTCTGCAGTGTTGGAAACTGAACCTAGGCCCCACACTAAGCTATATCAGCAGCTCTGTGAGTTGTTCCCTCCAGAAACAACCTAGAAATCCTCAGTCCTGCATTTTCATCCTGGGTTTGAGAAACTCTTCTCCAGTTGAGATCAAATCTGAAAACTGCAACAGTATGAGAAAGGCAGGTTCCGAGGTCTCAGGAAGTCTGGCAAGCACTGGTTCCTGGCACATTATTGAAGAAAGGGAGACAGAAAAGGAAGAGCACATAAATGCTGTCAGCATCCTAGAAGAGCAATAGTTAGTGCACCAGGTGATACAGATTAGGTAAGGGCAGGCTCGGAATGACATGCAGGTGCAGGAAGAAGGCCTTGTTAGCGATGCTCCATCTTAAGAAACTCTCCAGAACTGCAGATTCTAAAATCAAAGAATTCCTGTTTCTCAATGAGCTGCCCAGAGGATGTCATACATGTGCAAGACCACGCAGTATGTCAGGAGTATAGCCCCTCTTGAAAAGCTCCTCATTAGCAACTCACTGTAGAAGGTTAAGCAGCCCATTGTGTTGTAGCTGTGAAAGACCATGGGTGCAGGCCATGGGTGCCTAACCTGCTAACACTTGCTTCAGTTCACTATGCACAAAGTGGCTAAGGTGCCTCTCTAGTCGGGTACACCCGAGGGCTATTACCACCACTTGTGACTGTTGCTCCTGACCCATGAAAGCTCCACAGGAGACTGATTTCCACTCAGCAGGATGTTGGGCAAGTTCATGAACTATGTGCTTGGACACCCTCTAAGGCTAAGTGTGGTGATGCTAGACTACCAGTTTCCATAAATTACACCGTCTAAGAAATAGTTAAACAAGGTCAAGTGGTTCGCATGTGCATCCAGCATCTGGGAGTCAGACAGGAGAATCAGGAGCATGATGTCAGCTATTGAGCAAGTTTGAAATCACCCTGAGCTACATGAGACTCTTAAAAAAAAAAAAAAAAAGATACTCCTTTCTAAACACACAGAAACTGGGGGTGGGGTGTCTTTAGAATCTATACACCTTAAAGGACAAGGAGGGTCTGAACCAAGACAAGGTGTACCCTGTGTGTCTTCTGGGGCTTCCTGGGGTGGGCCTGCATCAGTGGGCGGGGCTTCATCAACTGCGGCCTGGAGCCTCCCCTCCGGCTGTGCTCCCTCTTCAAGGGTATCTTTCTTCTCAACAGGAACTGTCTTCGAATATCTCACTAGTTTCTGATCTTCCGAGGTCTCCTCCTTGGCCTCTGAGCATCCTTCTGGCACCTGCTTCTCTAGGCTTTCTTTTCCAATCAGGACCTGGGGAGAAGTTGCTTTCCATTCGGGCTCTGGCTCTTTTGGTCCCAATTGTCTGGCTTGGGCCTGGGGTGTGGCGGCTGGCAGCTGTTCTCCTGAACAGGTCTTCTGTGTTTTCATTGTGGGTGCTGAGTTACCAGCAAGCCGTGCAGATGACCTGGCCTTTGTGTCTACAGGTAAGACTCCTTCAGCTTCAAACGGCTTTGGGCTTTCCTTTCTTGTCTTACTCAGCCTTGGTTTCCTCTGTGGGTGCTCTTCCTTTGAGTTTGTCTCCAAAATCTCACTGGACTGTGATCTGGATGTCATGGGCTTGGATCTGGTTTCTTTGCTCTCCTCTACAGGCTTGGTGACAGTCCCTTTCTTCTTTGGCTGCTGGGACTGCTCTGGGTAGGTGACATCTGTGAGCGGCTTTTGTGCCTTGGCTTTCTCTTTTGCAGGTACTGTGATTTTAGGGACTCTGGGACTGGAGGCCTCTGGTTTGTAAAACCCTGCCTTGCCTTTGCTCGACACTTGGGGATCAATGTTTGAGTCATGTCCCTCCCCTTCAGAGTCTGAATCTGAGGATCCGGAAGAGGAAGATGAGGATGAACCATCTGTCACCTTCTGCGAATGCTGCTGAGCCTTTGATACATAACCCTGTACTTGGGGTGGAGATGGAACTTTCTGAGGAAACTCTACCAAAGTCTTTCTTGACAAACGCTTCTGAAGCCCTTCATCTGTGAGCGGCAGGCTGCCACCAGGGTGTGGGCCGGCTACAGCCCCACCCGTGTTCTCCACTGATGGGTAAGAACTGCGTGGAGATGTGCTTTTGGACAGTGCCGCTGCTGTGTGGGTGGTTAGGAGCTTGCCCCTCTCTGCTCCCACCACATCTGGGAAACGGCATAAAGAGGAATATTTATTATTTAATCAACAACTCAAAGCCACAGACATTGCATTACATACCAGTGTGTTATAATGTTGTCCAGGTAATTGACCCAAGGGAGGTTCCAGGAACCTCCCCACGTGCCTGGGTAGTAGCAGGAGTGGGCAGACTTGCCTCTGACCAAAACCCCTAAGGAGGAAGGGCTTTCTCACCAGCAACAGCCACAAACCGATTCCATTTCTCACACTCATGGCTTCCCAGATGATAATTAATCTTAAAATGATCTCACTCAAATTTAAGTCAGTTAAACTCTAATGTAAGTATTTTCTGTTGACTATACAAGTTTTCCAAAGGTATAATTTCTTGAATCGCTATGGCCACTCAGGTATGTGGTGCTTTTCTAATATTAAAAAGTTCAGTTTGACCGAGAGTCTGTTTGGAGTGTGGGTAAGTGCACCCCTGTGAGTAGGGGTGTGGGGAAGGGAGTGGCAACAGCTTTTCAAGTAAAGTGGCCTAAAAAGGAAGAAAAGTCCTCAAAATCCCACGGCCACTTGGGGATTTCCTCAGCCAAGAAAACAAGTGTTGCAAAGCCAGAAAGTCTAAAATAATTTAATGCCATACCTATCACTGGAGATAGACGTTACACTACAGAAAAGCAGGACAAATTCTAACAGAAAAAAAAAAAAAAAGCCCTTACGTTTCATAGTCATTTATGAAAGACCAAACAACACAAACAAAGCCACATCAATTAGAGCTAATTTTATTCAGTCTGCTCAAGTGTCAGTCTTACTAACCACGGGGATCAGAAGAAAAGCACAGGACAAGCTATTAATATAGGAAATTACCCTCCACACCTGAATGGAGCCAAACATTCTCCAGATGAACAGATCTACCAACTTCTTAAGACAAGGCTACATCTAGGCTAAAACTGCCTGCTTCTTCCGCTGTGGTAGAACCAGGACTCCCTTACACATCTTATCATGGTGGAAAGTTAAGTCTCTAAGCCAGAGAAAGTGTTACAGGGCTTGTGAAAGGAAACGACCAGAACCAGAGCAGTGGGTGACAGTTGAAACCAGGCCTGTTCACACACAGCCTATGTCTGTCCTGGCCCTGGCCACCTAGAGTAGGGACTGACAGCATGTCCCCACAGCTCCAGGCCATGCTTTCAGCAGAGCATGCAAGCACATACTTGCTCTCTCCCAGCTTCCACAGCACAGCTCAGAATCCTCAACAGCCACATGGATGATTTCCTGGCCTCTAGGCCAGATAGCCCACTCACCTACACCACTGGTGTTTTTCTGAGCTTGCCTCTTGCAAACAGGAAATGACCTTAGGGCTCAACTGGCACAGTGCTAGCTCAACATGCATTGCAATAAAGCAGGGGTGCTGTTACACCACTGTGATCCTAAGATTCTGCAGATAGAGGCAGGAGGGTCATAAGTTCAAGTTCACCCTCAGCTACAAAGCAAGCTTGAAGCGAGCCTGGTATACATAAGGCTCTGTCTCAAAATTTAAAAAAAAAAAAAATTTTTTAAAAAATAAAGCTCTCAAGTGGCTATTTTTGAATAGAAAACTTCCAAAATGCATTGAGGACTTGGGGATTTTGTTTTTATGCTCTTGATTGGACCCAGGGGTTCAGGCACACTAGGCAAACTGCCACTGAGCAATGCTCTCCTTAGCCCTTGGGGATTTTGAAAATTGTAATGAGTTATAAAAGTACATTATTGGGACTGAGGTGTAGCGCAGTGATACAACATGTGCTAGGCACACGCAAGGCCCTGTATTCAATCCACAGCCTCATACCCCCCGCCCAGGCCTGCCAGACCTCATCTTTGAGCCTCAGATGGAAGCCTGCCATATGGACCTACTGTTGCCACCACTAACCGTTATCCATCCACATTCACCAGTGCAGTAGATCACAGAAGGTGAAGGTGATGGTGACGTCTGAGAGGCACACTTGGTGTGTAGGCACAGGATGTGGCACTCTCTCATGGCATTCTAGCTAGGGACTGGCTTTCCTCAATGCCCCCAGGCTCCTCTCAGAGCACAGAAGGGGACATGCAAGGGGCTGCTAGTTCTACAGAGACCAAAGCAGCCTACACACAGCCAGGTCTACAAATACTAACAGCGCCAACCAGTTCTCCCTGTTGCCATTCCATCTCCTCCAAAGACCCAAGTCAAGTTTCTGGATTTCTTTTCTGTTTGGCTGAAAATGGAGAACACAATCTTCAAGCTTTCAGTCAAAGAAAAGATGGCTACTGTGCATTAGCAGGCCTGGAAAGACGGCCCAGCAGTTAAGAGCACCTATTTATTGTTCTTGCAGAGAATCCAGTTCAGTTCACTGTGCCCATGTTGGGTGGCTCACAACAGCTGGTAACTCCAGCTCCAGGGGAGTCAGTGCCCACTTCTGCCCTCTGGGGTGCTGCACTCACACACACACATCCACATAAAAAATGAGTGTGTATATAAATAATAAAATGAATTAGCTACCCTAAAATGCTCCTATGTAGTATCAATTGTTTATAAAATTAAACCAGGCAACAAGGCACACTTTACAAAGGTACTTTAAATATGGCTGGTAGAGTGAAGTCACCCAGATTTCGTAGGCTTAGGATTGTGTATGTGTAAAAACTTTAAAAAAAAAAAAAAAAAAAAAAAAAAAAAAAGGATGCAGGAGAATCCAGATTTTTCCCCCCAAAGTAACACAGTACAATGACTGGAATATAGACAGTAGCCAGAATGTCAAAGTATAAAGCAGACCTCACTGGTGCACTGACAGACAGACACAGACATACACACACACACCCCACATCTCCATCAATCCCACAGCACCCAGGGAGGTGGCAAAGCTGTAGGCTCAGATGGCTGTAGGGCCAGCAACAGGAGCTCCATGGGAATCCAAGGCCAAGTCTCTCTTACCAGGCCGACAACACTTCTACTTACAAAGATACTTATTCTTACATAGAGGATTCTTAGGTCCTAAAACTCATTTAGTCTAAATCAAATATCTAAAAGGTAGGGTTACAGACATAACTAAAACTCCACCACAGAAGAGAACATATTATTGAAATCCAAGTCGCTCACCAGTAAGTGGTCATAAGCATTCCAGGCTATGCAAAGCCCTGGGTTGAAATCTACAGCATGCAAAAATAAAAGACCATGCCACATGCGGTCCATGACTTAACGGACATTCTTGTTACAGACATTTCTTAGGTATATTAGGATTCTATGTTTTGTTGTTTTAAATAGCCCTCATGTTTAAGATTTTTATTTTTCAATGTATCCAAGTGGAAAAAGTCTACAGTATTTTAAAACCAGGCAGGTTTTAATGGTGTCCTGGAATTCAGGCCAGGACAACTTTTGCCACATGTCTGGGAGCTGTGCAGCCAATGGAGATTTGGGGGAATGGGTGTGTGTGGAGATCATGAAAGACAATGGGCAGGCTCTCTCTAAAAGCACAAACATTTAACACCTACTGATGGTCAGTACAAAGGAATCTGTATTGTTTCACATATGTAAGTCAAGGAAATGCTGTTTTAGTGGAACTAAGACCAAACTCAATTAGCACTCCACACACAGTCCCATACTAAGATGGAAGATTTGCCAAAAGGCAATTCTGCATAGACCTTCAAGGGTTGATCAGGGCTCCATGAACTAAGAAACTAAATTTAATGGTTCTAGTTCGTGATCCATCATCAAAAATGGGCAAGGCTTAGGAAATAAAATTATTTTCAGAAGAGAAGCATTTAATATGTACCACACTTCCTGCTTGCCTGGTGTGAGGTTATTCCACACTGGCATTCAGAGAGAGGAAAAGGTTAAAACTTGTGACAGAAATTAAAACGAATAAAGAGCTGGAAACCGACCAGGCACCAACTGAATGCAGCACAGCAGAAAGGGTGACCCCTAATTCCCTCCCTGAGGTCCTGATCATGTCCCCCAGATGGCGATAGGCATAGGAGAAAAACCTCACTAGTCTTGGGAAGACATGGAAAGCCAGAAACTAGGGAAAGGAAAATAGGGCAGGATCCCACTACTTCACCCAAGCATGGAGCCCGGAGAGGCCCCCGCTCTCCCTGCTGAGCTGTTTTCAGGAAGTACCACGGTCCACCTGGAGCAGTAGTTCACAACATGTGGGTCATGACCCCTTTGGGGGGGGTTGAATGATCCTTTCACAGGGCCACCTGAGACCATTGGAAAACACAGATATTTTTACATTAGAATCATAACTGCAGCAAAATTACAGTTATGAAGTATAACAAAAATAATTTTATGGGCTGGAGGGATGGCTCAATGGTTAAGAGCACTGACTGCTCTTTCAGAGGACCCGGGTTCAATTCCCAACACTCACATGGTAGCTCACAACTATGTATAATTTCAGTTCCAGGGAACTCAACACCCATGGCAAAACACCAATGCACATAAAATAAAAAATAGATAATTTTATGATCGTCGGAACTGTATTAAAGGGTCGAAGCATTAGGAAAGTTGAGAACCACCGATCTAATGCAAGACTTTGATAGCACTGATGCGATGCTGATCTTATATCCGATTATAATATGGACACTGGGAAGGTTAAGAGCCTTAGATTATACAGCTGGTCAAATTCATTTCATGCTAATGACTTTGCATTCTTTGCCCCTCCAAGACCATCTTTAAAATCTCACCTTTTGGCTCACTTTGCTTCTTGGGATTTGGCTGTATTCCCTTTTCACTCTTCCCTGACTCTGTAGAGAGGAGCACGGAAGAAGACAGTTCTCGGAACACCCTTGCCTCCAAGAACACAGCCTGGGGAGAGTCAACAGGAAGGATACTCACCTTGATGGCAGCCAGTATAATGTGAGTGCTAATATATTAATATTCGTGTGGCACATTTATCACAATGTCCATATCATATGGGAAATATGAAAAGCACAAAAAGAAAAAAAGCTGCAAGAAAAATAAGCCCAAGTTCCAGGGAAACCACCATTAGCATCTAGGTAAAGGAAAATATCTTCGTTTCCCTATTCTCTGCAAAAATTTCCCAAAATGGGAACTTGGAAACTTTTTATTAAAAAAATACTTTGTGAGCTTCTTTATACAAAGCTTCAGGGCATCTTGGTGAAGAGCCTGATCCAGCAGAAACCAGGGGGTAGGAGGTGGATGACAGGCAGGTGCTGCTGGGAGAAGCCCTTGTTGCCACTTGTCCTGCAAAGTCCCGGTCGGGCAGCTGACATCGAGGAGAGGAAGGAGGTGCTGGCCTCTGGCCTCACCTAGATGGTAGCTGCAACCCTCCTTCGCTGCTAGGATCCTGGACTCAAGGCCCAGCTGGCCCTCAGCCCAGTGCAGACTCCTGGGTCCTAAACTAAAACACTGTTTCTTTTTGCAAAATTATCTCCCTACACTTAGTAACACTATCTGCTAGTAAATACAATGTAAATAATTGCTTCAGAAACGTTACAATGTAAATGGGAAGATTCTTACTATAATTTCCCAGGCAACCACTAAGGCATGTACTAGATCCTAGGATGCTTCACGACGGGCCCAGAAAACTACGGGAAAACGTCTATTTATATTTGATTCTCCGCGTGTGTTCACATTATGTGTATCGTTACACGCTGGAAAGATATCGCTGGGAACAAGATACCTGAAGAAGTAAATAAATAGCGCCCATCTGATGACGGGAACCCTGTCACTTGTATTTTATTTTGCTGTGAGCACTTCCTGCTTTGGGGCTGGTTCAGTGGCAGCACTTGACATGCAGGGCCCTGTGTTCCATCCCCAGAGCCCAAACCAACAAACCCCAACAATGCTTTTGCAGAGAAAGCCAGGTTTAGTTTTTAAAACAGCCAAAGAGTCTCAGCTTTGCTGTTGCACAAAAAGACCTTCTCTCTGGGTCAGGTGAGCACAGGCCCTGGAACCCCTCACCGTGACACCAAGCCCACGGGTACAGCTACGGGCTGGGGAGGTTGCGCCCGTTCGCCCTTTACCTTCAGCTCCCGGATTCGTCCTCCCCGAAGCAGGAAAGGGACCGCCATGGTACAGACGCCACTCGCCGAGGTCGCGCCTAGGTGCGTGACCAGGGCGCACGCGCGCGCGAGGCTCCGCCCTGCGTTCACGTTCGCCAATCGCAGGCCAGGGTGGGCATAAGCTTCTGAGCGCGCATTCCGGTAGGACTTCCTGAGGCCACACCCTGAAGGAGTTCACCAATCCTGGGTGGGAGCGTGCGGGATCCGTCCCTGGGCAGTTCCTGCTTGAAGTCCCTCCCCTCTGTTTAGATCCTGCCTACCTTGCCCTGATCTCGCCCTTAACTCTGAAACCTACTGAAGTTGTGCAGCTAAAAACATTCCCTTAGCGTTTCTGCTTCGATTTGAGAATTTTGTGTTTGGTGAGGTTTTTTGTTTATTTGTTTTGTGTTTTGAATTTTCGAGACAGGGTTTCTCTATGTAGCGCTTGCTGTCCTGGAGCTATCTCTGTAGAGCAGGCTGTTCTCGAACTCACTGAGTTCCTCCTGTCTCTGCCTCCCGAGTTCTGGGATTAAAGGCTTGGGCCACCATTGCCCAGCTTGGTGAGGTTTTTGTGAGTTTGTTGTTTGCTAGAGAGAAAGCTCGGTGGTAGTACGCTTGCCCCTTAGGAGTGAGGCCTTGTAAAAACAAATCAGAAGCTGAGCGTGATGGTGAGCTGCTTCCATGCCAGCAGTAGGCTAGTTCAAAGCCAGCCTGTACTTCATAGATGAACTTTAAGGATTATAATCAACAGATTAACTCGTTAATGAAGGCAGAGGACACTTCCTCCCTTCAGTAACCTCACCAGTTGGAGACCAAGCCTTCCACACACAAGGCTTTACAAATAACCTTCATATCCAAGGTATAGCTGTGGAGTATGTGTTATTGATTAAAAATTCTTCCTTTCCATTGTTGATTGATGCCCCTTCCCACGCGGAGCCCAGTGCACTCTTAAGTATCTCATGCAGACAAATGTGTTCACACATCCAGTTTACACTAAGGAAAACTCCCTTCCACAAGCTGTTAGGTTTTGGGTGGTAGTGGAAGGGTTCAGGACACTAAAATTAATTATTGGGAGGAAACAGTTTATTAGCTCTATTAATGTCATGTATGGGCAGACAGACGGGAGGCAACAGCATGGTTAGGAGCTCTGAGGAGTGTTCAGTCCCCAGAGACAGAGCAGGGCCAGGTCTCTGAAGGGTGAAAGCAGTCACTGTTGTTCTTTTGCTGCAGCTAATGCCTATGAAACACAAACAGGAGACTCAGCACCCACGTGGAGTTTATTGAGGGAAGGGAGAGAAAGGGGGTAGCTGGTGGCCAACCGAAAGCAGGGGGGAGAGAGAGAGAAGGCCAGAGAGAAAGAGCAAGAGAGAGGGCAAGAGAGGGGTTCGTGCTTGGCGTGCTTGCTTTAAAAAAAGGGGGGGGCTTGCGCATGCATAAATGAGTCCTCTGACAGCCAGGTAAAGCTTGAGCAGCCAGGTAAAGCCTGACGTATTAATGACATGGCCATGAGCGTCCCGCCCATCATCAGGGACGGGGCCAGCATTGCTGCTGGTTCCCAACATTCCCACCTCTTATTGTTATTAAAAAGGTGGGGGTTGGGCGTGGCAGGTTAGGGAATAAGGACATTGAGTTCTCAAGACTGCTTCCTGCTGACTTAGGGGCGATGATCATCTTTGGGGGATCGGAGAGATCTGGGGTGCTGCCACGTCCTGGAAGCTGGTTGTTTCATAGCCGTCCTGATAGTATGGAGCTCTGGCATCTCATTGAGACCTGGCAAGATGTTAGCAGAGCAGAGGACAAGGTTGTTTTTTTCCTTAGGTCCAAGTACTTAATGGGAGAAGTGTAAGGTGGGGGAGGGGCTCACAAGGGGTTCCCAGGACAAGGTTAGGAAGTCCTGAGGCCAGGAAAAAGTTGAGTAATATTTATTTGGAGTGAATCTGACCTGTTTAAATGGATCCAATTCAGCTCCCTGGAACCTAAAGAATCCTTTGGGTTTGTGAAACATAAATATTAGACACTTTATCAGCATACTCATGTTAGAAATTATTTGGCTGAAAGAATTAACACAACTGGCAGATTTTTAGCACAATGAAAATTAGGAGCTTTTGGAAGACTTATCTACCGTTGGCCCAAGCAACCTCTTTGTCCTTTACAGGTGTAAATCTAACCTAAGTTAAAACCAGGCTGCAGGGCTCTGAGTATAACATCCCTCCACAGTCTCTCAGCTTGGATCCAGTTTTCCAGACAGATTAATTAATTACAGGGATAAAGCCTTACCTATCCACCTATGTGTTTAAGGCAAGTAACTAAAGACAAATTTTGTATACCAAGTTATACTAAACAGTCAGACAGTCCTCAAATGCTCAGAGATCTAGAGAATATGGCATTTAAAATGTTTCATTAAAAAGCTTTTATAACAGAGGGACAGGCCAGCTGCTGGTACCACCCATTTCCTCCAAGAAGACTGATGGACACTGAAGAAACTCCACCCACAAAAGTGGCAACACTAGCCACTGAGAAATCCTGCCTTTCATCTCAACTGCTGCAAAGGGCTCTAAGGACCGTGGACAAGAGGGCCAACAGTAGGTTAAGTCTTCCAAAAGCTCCTAATCCACAGGTCTTATGCCATCAGCAGACGGCAAATGTCCTTAAAGCCTCTAACCTCATCAACTGTGGAGGACCTGGGGGTGGCTGTCCATGCTGCCAGCTAGTAAGTCTCTGTTACTCTCTAATCATTCAGGTAAAGTTTTATCCTTCTCAAGAACTCTGATGCTTTTGACAGCTGGTAGCTTTGTCAGCTTAAAGCAGCAGCCAAGGCTCCAATTGTTACAAAACAGATTTCAAAAACGGGTATTTTAAGGTTGCTGCTGTTTATAGTCTTAACATTAATCAATAAAGTTTTAATAAGCTACTAATCCAATTCTGACAGAGTACTGAACACCATACTATGCCATTATACAATCGTAAGTGTAACTATAAGCTTACAATTAAGGTGCTTTTCATTGTACTAAAAATCTGCCAGTCCTTTGGACTGGAAACTGGCCTCTGAACAACATCTGGAATCTTATTCAGGTGACAGGATAAACTGGCAATGTCACGAGTCCTCTGACCTTGGCAGAACACAGGAAGGCAGAAAGAACAAATATAGGTGTAGACAACAGTGAGGATACAACTGTTGTCTCTAAAGGAAGAAGACACAAACAGCAGGTTAACAGAAGAACTGTCCCTGTTGACCTAACTCTTGTCTTCAGGGGACCTTTTCCTTCAACTTCCTGAAGTGACCTTACTTTACATGTGAGTAAATATGATTAAAGGGAACAGGTCCTACTTATCCTTTGGGCTACTGGCACTGTAAGATCATGGAACCCAAGACTTCCACTTCTCACAGCCGACCAGTTAGACATTGGAAGAACTGGGGTACTCAAGAACAAACAAAAGGGAAGACTTCCCAGTGGGGGAGTTGTATGCATTTGTCCCCGTGAGAGTTCATGAGTTGGAAGCTCATGGTCTCCAGGGTGGTGGTGTGGGAACAGAACCAGAAAGAGGTGGGGCCTGTGGGAAGTAATTAATCATAAGGGGTGCAGCTTTTGGAAGGAACTAATAGGTCTCCCCCACCCCATAATAGGTATCTCTGCTGATGCAGTAAGCCAAATCAAGCCAAACTGAATAAGTACAACAACAGATATATTTGAGCAGAGCAACTCCTGGGCACCTGGTTCTCTGGTCCCAGAGACTGAGGCCAAAGAAGTTGTGCCCTGAACTAAATAAAAATAAAGCAGGGAGACTTTATAGGTTGTAGACAAAGGGTGATGATGTGTCCACTACAAGTTGGGTTTGTTCCCAAGTATGGTCAAAATCTGAGCTCTTAGTTGGGACTTTGGGCTTCTTGTGGCAATAGGGGAAGAAGTTGAAATTGTCACCAAGAATGCAGAACTGGGCTTTTTGACTACGTTTCTTTGTTTGGAGACTCTCTGAGCAGGTGGGCTTTGGAGACAACAGAAGGAGAGAGAGGGAGGGAGGACTGGGGCTTTCTGGATCATGCAGGGACAAGCTGAAGGTTCCAAACAGAACTGAATTAATGTTGCTCATATAGGAACCTGGTAATTCTCTTAAGAAGAGTGGTGTTTCGGGGGTAATATGGCTTGGTTGGTTTGTGTTTCTTTGAGACAAGGTCTCCCTATGTAGCCTAAGACTGACCTTGAATTCACTCTCCTCCTGACTCTGCCTTCCTTGTATCGGGTTTATAGTCATGATGTCAGGCTTGAGAAGGTTTTTAAAGGAACAAACCTGGCCCTTCCCTGCCATCTTGCCTCCTATTTCATTAGGTGGTCTCTTCTCCTTTCTGAGGAGCCAGCCCTATGCTGCCTGGATTTTAACCTTGACACTAGGCTAAAGAAACTTTTTCCCTTTTGTGTGTTTGTGAATGTTCATACATGTGGGCAAGCGTGTGAAAGCTGGAGGTCTACCTTGGGTGTCATTCCTCTGGAAAAAGTCCACCTTTCTGTCAGAGTGTCTCATTGGCCTGGAACTTGCCACTTATGCTAGTCTGGTTGGCTAGCAAGCCCCAGGGATCTGCTTGTCTCTCTCTCTCCTGAGCATGGATTTAGAAATGTGTGCCATCATGCCTGCCTTTTTAATGTGGGTTCTTGAGGATCAAATACAAACCCCCATTCTTGCAAGGCAAGCCTTTTATTGACTGAACTGTCTCCCTAGCCTATTATTGTTATTGTTGTTATTTTGTTCTTTTGAGACAGGGTTCCTCTGCATAGCCCTGACTGTTCTGGAACTTGCTTTGTACACCAGACTGACCTGAAATTCACAGAAACTTGCCTGCCTCTGTCTTTCGAGTGCTGGGATTAAAAGTGTATGCCATCACTGCCTGGCCCAGTATTTTCTTTATAAGCTACTCACAACTGTTTTGTTACAACAGCAGCAAATGGACTAATACAGACAGGGTGTGGCTACAAACCAGGTTGTTAGATGAGGGGATATGTAGCTGGGGGGGGGGATCATAGCAGAGAAAGAACAAGAATGGGTGGTGAGGAGTTTTGGGGATTTGTGTGTGTG